GGTGTGAACATAGATTCTAGAAATTGATACCTGTATTGTTACCAGGTAGCACTGGCATTTCTGATGCAGATCTAAAATGTAGGTGGAGAGTACAGTGAATGCAAAAGAGCTCTAAGAACTGCTGTTTCCTGGTGAGCAGGCTGTTAAGCAGCCTTGCATTTGTTCCCTCACCACTTCTTTCAGATATTTAAAATCAGAGACCATAATGACACTTATTTTTCTATATAAAAGCTAGAATTCCCTTAGCCTGAGCTTAGACGAAAAACATTTTTGTTTTTTCGCAACGATACAAATAGGAGTTGTCGTGTGTAGAAAAGCTTATGTGAACAGCAAAATAAACTTCAGTCAGGGACTTAATGTTTTGTCTGCAATAAACTGTTCATCTCTGCTGTCAGACAGATTAGGTGCTGCATGCTGACATGCCAGTCTATCTGCACTTCTTGCTCTTACATCCTTCATCTCCCAAAGCTGCTTTGATTGTCAAATACTTCACCTAATTTTTTCCACATAATCAGAATTTCTGGCTTTGCAGGAAAAGATGGTATTAGTTAAACTACTCAGTGAAAATAAATGGGGATTTAAATGCCCTAATTATAAAGCAAAGAAAAAAATCAGGTAAATTGTTAAAAGGACAAGGAAGGGAAGAAAACCTTTTTCTTTGCAAAGACCTTATTACAGTTTTCTTTTCAGACCAACACAAATTCCTGCCATGTTAGCCTTACCTTGTTTGTTTGGGGTGGTATATTTCGGTGTGGGTTTTTTTTTGGGGGGGGGGGGGGGGGCGGGGATGTCACTGTGGCTGTGAAGTGACTACATATTCAAACTTGCTGAAAACTATGTAGCCTTTGATACAGAGACTGGTTTAAATGCCTCTGTTTTCTTTTTAGTGGCTCATTCTGCCTGAAAGGGGATTTTAGGCAAAGGTTTTTGAAGTACATTTCATGAAGTTGGACTTGCTCTGAAGTCCAGGCTTTAATCATAACTAAATATATCTGGCTTACGGGATGCAAATTGCAGGAGAAGTCAGAGTGCAACTTTAAATTCAGTGAGTGGTTGGGAGCCTTGCTGTGTACAAGGAACCTCAACTCTTTAGTGATTGTCTCTGCAAGAAAAATCAAGTTTGAGTTGTAATAGTAAATACGAACTGACTTTTTTCATTGCTAGGTTTTGACAACTTTGAGAGCCTGCTTGCAGGAGCCCACTGGATGGTGAGTGTGAGATGCCCCTTTCATCTTTGCTCCTCCTAACAGAGTTGTTAGAAAGATAATTAAAGGCAGGTTCCTAAAGTTCAGCTCCCCATGTCCTCTCAGTGCTTCTAAAACAACTGCTTGGGAAGCTCTCTCTGGATCCAAACAAGAATAAAAATTTAAGAGTTGGGAGGAATTGCAACTGTTTTGTTTTTTTTTTTTCTTTTCAGAAGTGTAATTATTTTCCGTTGTTTTACATAGGACAATCACTTCCACACTGCCCCACTGGACAAGAACATGCCTGTTCTGTTGGCCATGCTAGGGGTCTGGTATATAAACTGCTATGGTTGTGAAACCCATGCCCTTCTGCCCTATGACCAATACATGCACCGCTTTGCTGCCTACTTCCAGCAGGTAAGGCTCAGACATAGTAAAGGTTTCAAGAGGGAAATATGTAGGTATGTTTCTGTCCTGGTTCTAGAATCTGAATGCATGCTTCTAGGTTAAAATTGCAATCACTTAAATTCATGTAATCAAGGGCATGAAGAGACTGGTGGCAAGACTGTCAGCTTATTTGCTCAGATAATGTAGAGATGTTTTTCCTTAGACCTCCATTATCTTGGTGTCCATAAATTAAGCAGCTATATCACTGATACTTATCAGAGTTCCATAAACAAGCAGCACTCATAGTTAAAGTATTTCTGGAAACTTGTGCTGATACTGTGTGGCTCTGCAAAAAAGGTGATACTGCCCTTTCCTTCTTTTAGGGTGATATGGAGTCTAATGGCAAATACATTACCAAGAAAGGCTCTCGTGTGGACTACAATACTGGCCCTATTGTGTGGGGAGAGCCTGGCACTAATGGGCAGCATGCTTTTTACCAGCTCATTCATCAAGGTAAACGAACTATTTGGTACCTTGTTTTGGAATTAAATTCTCAATGGCTACGAAGCTGAAAGTCTGCAGGATTGACATGGGTTTGGAGGTGGGCTCTTACCTAACCTAGCATCACATTGCTATGGTGCTCTTAATAGGTGTGTTTAGAATGCTACAAGATGCAGGTTTTAACTCCACAATAAGGAGTGTCAACTAAAGCTAAAACTACTGAGCTGTATTGTCACTTCCCACTGCTGTTAAAAAAACAAAACAAACTTTTTTATAAAAAGCTTTTTAAAGTGACTGAGTCTTCCAGTAATTCTGAAAATGAGGTTAGAATTGAAAATTTTCCAAGACTTTCCTGTTGCTGGCTTATTAATATGGCTTTTCTTATAGGAACTCGCATGATTCCATGTGACTTTCTGATCCCAGTCCAGACCCAGCATCCAATCAGAAATGGCTTGCACCACAAGGTAAGTTTTGTTAGGGCACCCATATTCTTGTAGTTGAAGGTACTAAAGCTTATTCAGTATCACGGTGTGTGAGATTTCTAAATGTCCCTTTGAAACTATACACAGGATCTGTGAACATTCACAATAGGTTTGAAAATAACTGAATTATAATTACGTATTGTATGTAATATATGTAACACAGTGGTATGTTTGTTCTTAAAGAAATTGCAGCCATAGTTTTTGAGACAGATCAATGGTGTGGCCTGTTGGCTTACTGAGGCTGGAAAGAGTTGAGCAATTAAGTATTTGAGAGAAAATTCCTTGTAGGAATCACAAGGAATGTAATTCTTGCAGACTAAGAAGCAGCAAATTCTCAGAGTTGATGGAAACTTCCTCAGAGATGCTGTTGCAAGTCTTAAACTCCAGGACAAAATCTAGCACGGCTAGGGTGATAGCCTTCTACACAGACATTTTTTTTAACCAGTCTAATTTTTTATTTTAATGTATCATCCAACTAAGGATTTTCAGTGAACCATGTCTTAACAAGCTCCATAGATAGAAACATGTCCAGGTCTACTACTTAGTGCATACCTCAGAAAAAGCATGCTTCCTCACTAAACTTCAATCTTGTCTTGATTTCAGATTACGAGTGCTATTTAAACTGTGTAATGGTAATTTTTTGTCAAGTAATGCCAAGTACAGGTGAAAGTTTTAGAAGATGACTTTGCAGAAGAAGGGGAGAAAAGGTTTCATTTGTAGGTATAATAAGAGTTTATCTTCAATGTAATGGGTAGGAAGAAAACTACACATGAATTTACAAGCTAACATTAGGCAGAGAGTAGGAAACTAAAAACTTCTGTATTGGTAGGGATTGGTTTATGGTATGCTGTGAGGATTTCTCTTCATATAGAGTAAATACACCTTAGTTGGTTACCACTGAACTTTGCACCATGTAATGTTCCATGGGATAAAATTATAGACTATACTGGGAGAAGTGGGGGTATGAAATTCTGGCTCCTTTATTCTCCCTAGGAGGCTTGCTGTCAGTTTCAGCCAGGGCAGGATTCTGCAAAACAGTCCTGGTTGTCTTTAGATCCATGCACTGTTAAAACAGTAATCAAGTCTCCTGGCATTCTGAAGTAAAAAGCAATAGTGGGCATTATACAGTTGAAAGCTACTGCACACTCCACTGCCATAGTGTTAAAACCAGGAGCTGTAATAGACTAGGTCCCTGTCTAGATTCAAGCAATAGGTATCACTATTCAAACTAAGGAAACAGTAGCTTGAGTTGATGTTTTGTATTTCTGCCTGCTAGATCCTTTTGGCCAACTTCCTTGCTCAGACTGAGGCCTTGATGAAGGGAAAGACTGCTGATGAAGCTCGTAAGGAACTTCAAGCAGCAGGACTGAGTGGAGATGCTCTGGAGAAGCTGCTTCCCCATAAGGTAACTGTGCTTTGCCACTTGACAGCTTCCTGCTAGCTCAGGTACTGTGGTGGCGTGGGCATGGTGTTGGTCTGCTTGATGGAGTTTGCTGATGGGGCAGTGCCCTCCGGTGGCTCTCAGGCGCTACTGTCTTGACAGCTGTGAAGGTTGTGTCACAGGTTGTACCTACCTTGTCAGGTCTAGTGGAGCAGTCTGTGAATGGCGCTTCTGCCAAAGCATGCTGATCTGGAAGCCTTTTGAGGCATTTCAGGAAAGATAAAAGTTATCTCATCACTGCCTCTGGAATATCAACTTGTATTTTACTTCTTCCTGTAGCCCACAGTAGCCAGTAATGATGCTTGGAGATAACATTCTGCCATTGTGTTTGTAATAAAACCTGAAAATGATACAATTTAATGGTTGAAGTTGTTACTCTTTAAAGCTTCCAGGATTTTTTATTTGCTGCTAGTACAAATAATCCAATGTGGGCTATAAAGAAAATATGAACTGCCAGTTTCTGATGCGAGTCTTAAGGCATAGTAGAAAACAATGTAACTCTTGTTTTTAAAGGTCTTTGAGGGAAATCGACCAACCAATTCCATCATGTTTACAAAACTCAACCCATTCACTCTGGGAGCCATCATTGGTGAGTAAATAGATCTCTCATCTGTGAATGCTTGTTAAGACTTTATCAGAAAGTTTGTTGATAACTTTTTTCTGCTTGTAGCCATGTATGAGCACAAGATATTTGTTCAAGGAGTTGTCTGGGATATTAACAGCTATGACCAGTGGGGGTAAGTCTCTGATCTGTTTCTTGTATACTTCTTGACTCTGATATTTAATCTATCATGAATTAGAGAAAAGGCAATGAGGAAAAAAGTGTTATACTTGGAGCAAATCATTAGAGGATAGTTTAAACTGAAAACAGATTCTTCTGGGAATAACTCACCATGTATCCTTGTTCAGCCATGCTTAATGATTCTGTAGATACAACTTTAGCTAAGGACACTTGTTCAGTTTTATTTAAAAAAAAATACTATGAATGCAGAGAAGAGACAGTAATAATGAGTTAGGTAGTCAAGTAGTGTGAACACCTGTTCTGATAATTAGAATAGGAAAATATTTTCTGTTATAGAAGGGGGGAAAAGCCTCTAGAAACATTGAGTAGGCAGTTTGGCATCTGTTAAGCAAGAGACTGACCACCTTGTAATTTTCCTATACTGGAGATACAATAACATTCTTGACAGGTGTCTTTGCAGCTTTACAAGGAGTTTGGCACTTGTGAAAATAGGACACCTGATTGGGAGCCAGTCAGATTGTTTAATCTGTAGTAATAACTGTACAGTATACTGTATGAAGACATGCAGGAGAGACTGGAAAATGAGTAAGATTTTTCAGGTAAAACCTGCCTATGCTGTGCAGGGTGATTTGGAAGCGAAAGTTTGCTCTGCAGGCCTAGTATAGCAGTTTACACTAAGCTCCTTTCTTAAAGGCTGAATGATAGGTTTTTCATTGTATATGTTTTCTTAGAGCTATGCTAGTACAGTAAGTTCTTTAAATAAAATATTGTAGTAGAAAGTGAAAAGACTGTCTAATAAATGCTGATGTCTGCTATCAACTCTGAAATCAAGAGTAGGATAAGATTAAGTACAGCTTTTACTGCAACACATCAAAACCTGGAATGGCATCCAGAGCTAACTATGGAATGTGGGGATGCTGGAGAACCAGCCTAGATCCTTGCAGCTGTAGAAATATCCTAGGTTCTTACCCTGTGGCTCTAACTCCTGGGTAGCATGCTGTAGTGTTGGGGAAATCTTCCAGTCTGCAACTTGGCTGTTTATTGTTTTGGTGCTGTAAATCAGTGTTGTGAGTGATGTTGTGTTCAACAGGGAACAGTAGCAAGCTGAATGCATTCTGCACAACGCAAACAAGATCTGAAGGGGAAAAGACTCTGCTTAACTTCTTAAAACAAAACTTTCTCGTAGACATCCTGTAATTTGAGAGTTGTTTGTCAGTGAAGCAGCTGTGAGAACTCCAGTTGTTTGTGAATGGCAGAGCTGAATAATACTAACTTTGTCAGTAGCTTGTAGAAGAAAAAATATTCTTCATAATGTTTACTGTCAAGCTCCTTCTCACTGAAGCCTATTTAAATGTCTATGGCTTATAGTAATACTGTAAGTTTTTAGCACTAATGTTTTTCTTTTATGTTCTTTCTTCTCTTGCTTTTTAAAATGCAGGGTTGAGCTTGGAAAACAACTTGCCAAGAAAATTGAGCCTGAGCTGGAGACGGATGCTCCAGTGACATCTCATGATAGCTCAACCAATGGGCTGATCAATTTCATCAAAAAACACAGAGCCTGAAATCAGATTTGGAGGACATCGACAATCTAACCACCGAATACCCAAATCTGTTGTAGTTGTGCTTTTCTAGCCACTTCTAACAAAAATAGCACTTTACAGATGTAGCTTCACTTGTTGCGGTTAATCTTGTTGCGTCGAGTGTTACAAATGAAAACTAGTTTTGTGAAACCCGGAGATTGTATAGTTGCTTTCTATTTTTGTGGCTGTTAATCTGTAAAGTGCAGCTGGTATGTTCCTCAGATCTTATCCCTCAACTTCTTTAAAGGTGATCACATACTGATACTAGAAAATAAAAGGTATGATGGATGAGTAAAACTTCTTCACTCTAGCGTTAAAGTGCAGACCTTTGCCTCACTGACTGTGGAAGGTAGTCTGAAGCCAAGTAAACTAATCTGTCTATTTTGACTGGTTCTGCTGTAAACTGAAAACTAGAATGTGTTCAAAGAATCAAATATACTGCTGTACATTGTTCATGCTGCATGATTTGATGCATTTGAGCAAGACAATTTTTTTTAATGCAACTGTGAAGAGGAAGGTTTACATAATGTCTGGTAAAAGATCTCTTGATTTCTTCATAAGCTATTGAAGTCCTATATGTGAACAGCTACCTGAAAAGGAAAGTTTCTGGAGTGACAGTGATATCTTAATTTTCCAAATAGCTTTTAAGAGTTTGTGAAGCATGAACTTCAGAAGAAAGCTCACTTTTTCACTTGTAGAAGAAATGTGTGAGGTACTTTCTCTCACTCTTAAATCACCATCACTGTTACAACAAAAAAAAAGAAACAAAGAACAACTTAACTATTTGTAAACAAGTTGCTTATATCCTTTCATTTTCTACCACTGTTAACCCCTCTCTGCTAGCAGACTGGCATGCTGTGGCTGTTGTTCTGTAACACCTTTAATAAAGGTAACACACAAGCTTTGAAAGGAAAAATAAGATGTTAACTGTGGTTCTCATACCCTGAACTTTTCATGACAAATGCTACTGTGGTTTTTAAGTCTGAGCTTAATGCATGTTTTCGGAACAAATCCATTGGTGGGATCAAAAGCTTGATCTCACTGATGTGGCACACTAACAACTCTGTAGTGTTAAATTTAGATTATGTACATATAATGCTTAGATGCTTTGCTATTGATCAGCTCTATAAAGCAATTTCTCCACATAAAACATGGTCACAAAAAGAATCCACTAGAGGGAGGCATAATTTTCATATGAGGCTTTAAAGCTTTCATCCAGCAGTCTTAAATCAAGTGCTAAAGCACAACTTCATCCACTTTCAACAGAGGTGGGTGTAAAGTGAGACTTTTCTATTTAGATGCCTGTCATGGTTTGAATGGTAAAGCCCATTGCTTTGTCTCAGTGCTATTCTTCCACCTTTGTTTGTTCCTCTCTTGCAAATTAGACACCAGCAACTTTTCTTGGAGAAAAAGGGAAGCAGTTTGTATTCTCTAACTCTTTGGTTATTCTCTAACCTTGGCATTGTTTCTAAAACTTTTTTTTTCTCCTTGCGGAGGGTTTACGGGTGTGAAATATTTCATTTGTAACATACCTGCTGTTTCTGCTACCACCCTTTAACTCAAAACACAAAGCAGGACAGCAACACAAGAAGGATCAAGATGCTGTTTCTGTGTACTGAAATAGTTCTCCTGTACTCGGGATTTTAGATCCAGTTCCCCAAGGCTTTTTCAGAAACGTAGAAAGTTCGTTTTGGAAGCATTTTGCCGTTTCTACGCAGAGAAAGCCAAACCAGGCTGTGGATGTGTTGTAGTTTTGCTGGGCCCCTGCGCGTTTTGGCGGGCAGAGAGGCGTCCCCTGGCGGCGCGAGTGTGCGGGGCCCGGCCGCTCGTGAGGCAGCAAGGGCGTTCGCGGGGCGGAGGGGGGTAGGCTTCGGCCGCTGTGGTGCCCACGGGCCTGGACTTTTACGGGTCCTCCCTCGGCCCAGCGAGTCCTTGCACGCGTCAGAGCTCTCGGGGCTGCCCCTTAGGTGCGGTTATTTGCTAATTGATGGTGAAATTACCGGGAGAAGTGAAGCACCGCTTATCAGCAACTTGCCGGTTCATCAGCCTGGATGCCAAAATTACCTCAGAGTTTATGGAGTGTGAAAATAACTGCTCCGTTGTGTAACTGCTTATGGCTGTAGTCAAACACAGCATAAAAATGGTAACGAAGCTTTAAAAGGAGGGCTTTTTTCCTTGCAGTAGTTGAAGACGGTATCATCAGAGAGGTCACAAATAACATGCAAGGGCTACATTTTGAAGATGAAGTGGCATGAAACCCACGTATGGTTCAGGAATTCACCTTCAGTGACACGAGTTGGAAGATAAAATAATCACATGCCTGCCCAGGTCTCGCCCTTCCCTGGGTATGTCCTTACAGCTGTGTTGGAGGTGGATAGTGACCTGGCCAGGTCTGTGGGCTGCCCAGTACTGCTGCTCTTGCCTTCAGCCGTGACATGCATCCCACTGAATAAAAAACACAAACCATTTGTGACTCACTTTCTGATACTTGAGCTCCAGTAAATCAATTTAAATCCTTCTGTGTTATATTAATCCAGGCAATTCCTGCAAGAACAAAACAGATTTCTTCATAAGTAGTAGTGCTCTGATAATCAGAAGGTCCAACCTAGTCACTAACTGGGGAAGTCCAGTGGGCATGGCTGACCTCCCTGAGGAAACTGTATTGTCATACTGCAAGTGGGAATGAAAGGTAGTAACATGCCAAAAATAAACAAACTTGTCAGACTCATGAGCTGGACCAAGACCTCTGGTCCTCAGCCCGGTGCATTTGCCATAAGACGTATGTTCTTATTGAAGGCCTCTGAGGAATACAGCAGGGGATGCTTCAGTCAGTGTAAGTAGCTAGGTCAGTGATGTATGTATATAGAACACCATCGTTACACTTGCAATGCTGATTTCTATAATCATAACTTTTCAAACTCAAAATTCATCTATGACTGTGTTTTGAGAGTTCTTGAGAAGGTAATTACTGTATTCAAGGGAAATCTCTAATATTTTAAAAGAAAATTATGTGAAATTCATCTTGTATTCCCACTGGGCATGCACTTAATATAGACCGTGTGGGTATGAGATAAAAGGAGGAATGTTTGCATTGTAATTGATCTAAAAAGATACTGTCTGAGAGCTATGATTGGAGTGAAGATGTCTTCCAGGTCTTTTGTTTAAAGAGAGTTTTGCAGTAATAATCAGTAAATGGTACTCTTTGGGCCAGTTCGCACTGATCTGATTAGCAGGGTTTTTTCTAATTTTCAAACTATCCAGCACTACATGCAGAGTTCCTGCAAACTTGGGGATGGTAATGGTTTGAGCTTAGACTGCTTGGAGGATAAGATGAGTAAAATTTCCCAAGCCACACCAAGAACTTCAGTTGAACCTGTTGCTGTTCTGGAGGAGCAAAAAGCATTTGCAGATCTTCAGTGTCAGTGCTGGAGGAGCCAAGCCATGAGTTTGTATAGAACAGTTGAGTAAAAAGTAGTTTTACCTCATTCATTAATTTATTTAATCTTTACACTCTTCCAGGTAAAGTGCTTATATTTAGATGATCTTAAAATTATTCTGCTTTGGCAATTC